GTGCGTGTGTGTGTGTGTGTGTGTGTGTGTGTGTGTGTGTGTGTGTGTGCTGGAGAGGTGTACTGTGTGTGTGTGCTGGAGAGGTGTACTGTGTGTGTGCTCAAGACTCGGACTATGCTGACTGCATCCATGCTGGAAATGCGCCAGGCGGAGATCACAGTTGGGCTCTGGGCTTGGGGCTCTGGGCATACCTGCCTGTTTTATTGTTGATTCTCGCTTAGGGGAGAAATAACAGCTGAGTATTTGTGTCATGTGTTGATTTATTCTTTAGTCTCGTCCCCCATCCCCCATCCCACTCCCCCGTCCGCCCTCTCTGGTCTCCATCTTCTGACCTTGCTGATCTTACCACTCCACCATTGTTCCTGGAGCCCTGGGGCTTCAAGCAGTTCTGAAGCGAGTCCACAAGTCAATGCCAGTCAGTCATTTTAGAAATTTTACGATTTTTCTGTAGTCGGGGAGAGCCAGCTACATATATGTATATATAATATACATTTTTTTCGGGGGGGGGGGGAATATTTGCAAATCAGTATGCATTCAGTGTGGAGTAGATTGTCATCTGCTTCAGTTCCTGTATCTACAACTGAAAATTTGAAGCATGCTTTATGTAACTTTGTGATACACACACACACACGCATACATACATACATACATACATACATACATACATACACACACACACACACACACCCCAGATCGATTTACAGACACAGGGAGCTCCAGTGAAATGGGGCACAGTGATATTTTACCACCCCCAGAACCAGCCATGGAAGATTTCTAGAGCATGGTTGTTATTTGGGTTCTTCAGTGAGGCCGCCAGTGGAAGCAGCCTGAATCTCTCCCGCTTGTATGTTATTTTGGGTTCTCCAGTGAGGCCGCCAGTGGAAGCAGCCTGAATCTCTCCTGCTTGTACCTCACAGGGTGCAGAGGCCCAGGGTAAGAAAGCCAAGGCTGCATCGAAGCCCAATGGCTCCCCGGACAGGTCTGCTGGCCCAGCAGGGAAGCCGCAAGCTAAGGTAGGCCGGTCACTGCCTGCTGCACTGGTGCCAGTGCCAAACTCACCCGCTTTGCTTCCACTGGCCAGCAGGGGGCAGATTTTCAGATCACTATCTTCCTTATAGGGTGCATTTCCACTGCACCAGGTACTGTGCTACTGATGTAGTACTTTCAATAGTCAAAAAAGTAATAGTCAAGAAGCAGAAGCAAAAGTTTCAAACTCAGAAAACGACGATTAAAAAAGTAATGCATGCGTGGAGAAATGAGGACACACAAGCTTTGATTGCTGTCTGGTTGGAAGAATCAGAAGATCTGGATGGCATGACAGGAAATAAAAAAAAAAAAAAAGTATTTCCTATAATGTACTACGGCTGGGTGATATTGGGGAAGAATTTAGAATTTTGCGAAGTGATTTTGTTGTAATAAGTATTGGGATATTTATAAAGCAAAAAAAACAGAGTAGGTAAAATTAATTTCTCACAACCCGTCAGTGATTCAAATTGCAAGGATGAAAATGATCATGATGGATGCAGAGAGCGCATGAAGAGTTCATGCCGAAGTAGTAAATGATTTATTTCAAACTCTTGATAATCTTGAAAAGGAACAATCATTAACATTTCCTATGACAAACTAAAAACTTTTACCGAAAATTAAACCCTGCATGCTGTAATGTCTGTATAGTACGAAGGCATGAAAAAAAGTCACGATTATTGCGATGTAAGAATTACGTGTGCATAACATGCGACGTTGGTATTAATATCGCACATCACCAAGCCTTATAATATACTATGGTCATCTTTCAAATTCAGTACAAATACCCCGCCTCTCATTGTGATGTCATTCAGCACCGGTACCAGTTTTTATGCCAGTGGAATCACTCAAGATGATGAAGGGTGACCAGCTTTTTCCTTAGCCGATTATTAAAATGATCATCTTGTTTTCTGCTCTGAAACTTTTCCCGGCAAAACATCTGTCTGGCGTTACAGACTTCTGAGACTTGACACGCTACAAGAGAATCCCATTAACGTCAATATTAACATCAAAGTTTCTGCTCAGTCATTATTATACATGGGGGAGGGGGTGGATATATCTGTCACATGGTCAGTGGGTTGCCCCCTTGGGACACAGTTTTCGAGCTGAGTTTTCGTTGTGGGATTAGGCTCAGAGAATAACCACACAAGAGAGGTTCATAATCTGTAGTCGTGTAGCCGCAATTTCGTTATTAACCTAATGGTCATGTCAACATGTAATTTCAATAAAAGTATCCGTATGCATTATTTTTTGAGGTGTTATAATAGATTGGAAGGTGAAGCTACTCCGCTTATACGTGTTAATCCGTAGCCATGGTGATACCTTATTGACGTCTAAAATGCTAAACTTGACATTAGCATTTTGTTTTTCTTTCTGTCTTCATTGATTAGCCTTTGTCAGTACGTATATATCTTGTCAGGTTTTTGGGTCAAGAACAAGGTGCAGTGTTTCACGTTCATTCCAGTGACACCCACTCCCAGCTAATTGCAGTGCTAAGTTGATGCAAGGTTGATATTTTGGTGGGTTTTTTTTTCCCCTCCTTGTTCTTTGATCTTCCCTGTTTCTTTGTACCATTTAGCATTCGCTAAAATCCGCGAACGTAGCAGTTTAGAAAACGAATGCAGCTGGTCTGGTTTCCACAGTCGAAAACCGTTCTCCTTCGGGATCCTCCGTTACTCAGAAACGGCAGCACTGGTAGGCTTTCGCTTTGGGGGGGGGCGAGATTGGATGGGGGCCAAGGCGGGGGCCGGAGCGAGACGGGACTGGGATCGAGAGGGCCGGAATGAGCGGCGAGAGCTCAGATGTTAGCAGTGGTCATTCCTGCACCAGCAGCCGTAAATCACAATCATCGCCCTCGTTAGTGCTCTGGAAACTCTCTGGCTTTTATGGGGGGTGCTAAGGCATCGGCGTGGCCCCTGTTTCATTGGGGCTCGCTGTGTCTCAAGTGGGTTAAATTGAGCATGCGTCCAGTTTTATGGTGGCTTTTCGTTTGTCAGACATTGGGGGGGGGGTCCTGTCCTCTTTTGTTGCCTTTAAGATGGGGGGGGGGGGTTTAAATGTTAAATTCCTCTGGGTTTATCTGATTCTCCACAGAAAGACTGTCTGCAGTTTCTGCATCTGGATTATTCACACCAGTAGGAAGCGCATTTTGCATTCACGGTTTTTACTTATTTTAACCCAAAATTGACAAATACAGTCTGTCTGGGTGAAGGGTGGTGGGTAATTGGTTGAGAGAAGGATATATGGATCCTGTTCTGGATTTCAGTACTATTTTTCTCAGGTTTACAAGTGCATTCCCACAATGCAGTTCAGCCTTGAAAGTTGTTGACAGTCTGAATAATCTGCGCCTTTCCTTAACCAGAAGGCACACTGTTCACGGCTTGAGGTTCCTGGAGATGCAGTATGTTTTTCACCCTGTCCACTGACACCGATGGTAGGAAACATACCCTTTAAATTGGATTCTGTAGCCAGCAATTAGCTGATGACCATTCAGGTGAAATGGGAACCACCTACAGTGCCCCCTCCCCGTGCCCCTAAACAAACAAACCTGACCGCTGCGACCTCCACTCTGGCCTGGCCCTGAACCGCTGACCTCCTCCCCCTGCATTTCTGGCCAGTCCCTTTGATTGTGGCTCACTCCCAGCGGCCTCCCTGAATTCCCACAGTCCTGCTCTTCCCTACGAGAGAGTAATCAGCTGGTGCTGTGTGCCCTGGAGCTGCTCAGAGGGGATTAATTGAGAGGAAAACTGAATCCCATCCCCTGCTCCCCAACAAAGGTGTTTACTGCCACTCAAACTGCACATTTGTGCGGGGCCCCTGAGGTTTGGGAGCCCCCTTTTGGGCAAAAACAGTTATTACACTGGGGGTGGGGTTCCCCAAAGTGACTTTTTGAGTGGAGTCCCAGAAATAACCTCCACCCGTCACCACCTGGGCTGAAGCTTGAGTCCTATTCTGGACCTGTGTGTGTAAACAAGACTTAGAGGTGAAAATTTTATTAATATTCAGTTATGTAATTACTTCCGTTGCTGTTTAATCATCATTCCACTGAGTGCAGGGGAATGGGTGCAATTAAAATGCAGCTGGTACCTTGTAATTAAAACCAGGTCGTCTCTTTCAGAAATCTGAATTGTACTCCTGCAGATTTAAAATAGTTTATTTTTAATAAAAGTTTATTTTTCCACCTGGACCTTTCTTGCTGAGCTGCTTAACCGTAGCGAGCTTATGTCCCATGAAGTAGCTTGTGGAGCCCCCCCCCCCCCCCCTGAGAGATGCATCCACTGTGCACCTACCCAAGCTGAGGGCAGACCGAGGGGGTAGCGAGTTGTGTTGCTACAGTGGAGGCATCTTTAATCAGCGTCTGGCAGTTTTATACAAATCTGCGACTGCAACTACAAAAAAAAAAATGCCGAAACTCTCGTATTTTGTTTGGTTACTGATGGTTAAGGTTAGGGCTGGGTAGCGGTTAAAGTTTTCACTGTTGGGATTTGCCCATAGAAATGAATGAACGGTCCCCACAAAGATACGAGTACAGTGCGTGTGTGTGAGTGTGTCTGCAGCTGTCCATCTTTAACAAACACGCGGGACAGGCACCTGTGAAGGGGCTGTGACTGTGTTTGTGCTTCTGTGTCGTCTCCCTCTAATTTGTCATTTGCACCATCAACGTCTTTCTTTTTTTTCCTGCTCAAAGCAACAGTCACGTTTTGTTTTTGTTTTTTTATAAGCGGCATCTTTCAAACATCTGCGTTCTCTTAAATCTCTTAAACCCGCATTGTTAGCGGTCTGATGTAATGTTTTCTTTCTGACTGACACTACCTTAGACCTCCTGTCACAGTTAGTCAGTGAGCTTGATGCTGTAAACATTCAGACGTTAATATGCCCGTCAGATTTACGTTTATATGATGCAGTTATGTAACTGAGACATTATTACTTATGAAATCAGCTTGACTTGCATGGTTGGCCACTAACTGAGAAATCGGTTGATTTGGGGCCCAGTAGGAACCCTGGCAGATTCGGGCTCAGAATTTCTGCTTCCCACACAGTAGCTATCTCGTCTTTGAAGGCCATTTTAAAAGCAGTATCGTCCTGAGTTTGCAACGGCTCCTTCTGTACTATGGTTGGTCATAGGGGGTTAAACCCTTTTTGTAGTTGGCCAATTCGGTCCCGCCCAGTTAAAAGGGCCTTTCGGGCTGGCTGTGGAACCCTGCAATCATGGCAGATTACAAGCTGGCCTTCAAGTACAAACAGTTGTGTGTTAGCACCCGTGTGTGTGACTGTGTATGTTTTGTGTCTGTCTTGGCCCCGTGACCCAAGATGTCTTCGCCTCGGGGTGCAGGCCGACGTCTGATGCAACTCGCGGCAATGTTAAAACGTTAGAAAAACATCGTGGCTGCGTTTCTGTGGGCACTGAGTTACTGAAAGTTCCACAAGAGGCATCGACGTAAGGAACGTGGCAAACATCTGCGATCGGTAGGCCGAGATTACCCAGCATGCACTCTGTTGACATTCTCATTTGCCGAGCTTGTTTGAAGCAGATGGTCTCTTGCCTCATTCCCTCCTAACCTCGGCCTGTGCTGAGCTTTTCCCCTTCAAAGATCCAGGTGTCCCTTTGCTCTGGCACTCGGCGGAAAGCTGAGGACCGCCTCTGAAGCTGGGAATAATAAAATGATCATTTGTGCCTTGACGCTTTTGTTAAAGGAGGTGTAATTGGGGGAGAAATTGATGCCCCCTGGTTTAATCCCTCGCCAGCTGTTTACTCAGGGCTGATTGGAGCACCTGGAGTAAGCAGGCAAAAGGAACTTAGAGGAGAGCCGCTTAACGTCTAGAAGATGAATATCGGACCTTATTTTGTTGGGCAGTTGCAGCTGTTGCTTTGGTAACGTTTATGGAGGTGTTTTTAACTCAGAATTCCTACTTTGTTAAGCCAAAAGTCGGGAAAACAATGTGCTGGAGATGTGTGCTTTGCTGGTAATGAGTAACTCATCAGCTCATATTCCTTGGCTGCACATTACTGTCATGGGGTTTTGGGGGTGCTGTGTCTGGATGGTATTTTGAATCTTCTGGTCCATGTTCTTCTCATTACCTGAAACTGATCTGTGGGCCATTATTTCAGGATGCCATGATCGTCTCGGGGCTTCTTGACCCTCAGCATTGGGCTGACGGTTTCACTTGAATTCCCTCCTCTACTGTGGCTCTGATTCAGTGTTTGATGGCTTTTAATTCTGGGCCTGTTACTTCCTCCTTTGGGCAAAGGCTAACATTCTTCTCCAAAGCTGCCCAGTTTGTTTAAGAAGAGTCTCTCCTCTGCTGAATTCCTATGCTCTTCATCTGGATGTTAGAAAGCCAGCATAACCAGTATAAGCTGCACATTCCCTGGACAGCATGGTGGAGTTGGTACAGAGTTCTGTATCTTAGTCCGGGTTTTCTTTAGGTTACATCAAAGCAGCCTTGTCATCCGTAAGGTAGAAGGTATATTTCCGCTTGACCTTTTGAGCTGTTCTTCATGGTTTGTGCATATTTAATATTATTTCAGGTCTTGTGTTTCCCCTATTTGTGAATCTTCCCTTAATAAATATGTGCAAATCTCTCACTATTAGAGTTGGATGTCTCAAGACCACTTTCACGTTATATGTGCAAAATTAGTGTAGCGCTAGTTAAACGTTAGATCCAGCATCACAGGCTATAAGATGCTGCAATCTTTAGTTTTCCTGAAGTGCAATCAACCACTATTTTAAAATGTGAGCTGTTTTCTCTCTCTCCCTCCTCTCTGAAAATATGCCTATTAACAGTGATTCTCTCTCTCTCTCTCTCTCTCTCTCTCTCTCTATATATCCATTTCAGGGAAGTTGATATCATACAGTGTCATTTGGCTAGTTCTACTACAATGGGACATGATTCAATTTCAAGTTTATAATTGTGTATCTTCAATTTGATGTTAGTTTCATCTACAGATTAAGTATAATTGAAATCAGTTACATATTTCCCATTCTTTAAACAGTTGCTGGAGGTGTTAGCTGTTTTGTCAGATGACTTTGGGACCAGTCAGTACCCGTCATGTCAGTGCTCAACAGCACACAAAAGTTAAGGGAGTCTTTTATTTTCGGTCTTGGTCTCGTCTCGACTTTGTCTTGGTCTTGACTCGGTCTGTCTTGGTCTTGATACCCTCTGGTCTTGGTAGTGTCTTGGTCTTGGCTTAGGCGGTCTTGACTACAAGTCTACTCACTATTTGGTTGATCACCTGCATTACATCATGCAACATTGCATGTTAAACGTGTGATACGTAAAAACGGAATCTTACAGAAAGACTCTGGTTCCTGCTTTCAGAGCCCCAAAGGAGGTAAAGAGAATCCGGCAGGAGGGACACCAAAAACGCCTTCTGTGAGCGACGTGAAAAACAAACTGACCACCGATGTCAAAGAAGTAAAGAAAACCTCGTCGACTTCTTCATTATGAGAGACCCTTTCTTAAATGTGGAAATTAAATTGGGTGCAAACAGCAGAATAGAAATCATTCAGAAATATTAGATTCATTTATTAGGTCGAGCACCAAGGGTATTTAATTTAATATTTCTTTTGAATTTATTAGATTTTATTGCATTGTTAAATACTGCACACACTATCAATTTTTTACGAATATGTATTTTAATATTTAAACTATCCCAAATGCACTTCTGAATCTGACTAGGAAGATTTAGAATGTGTCTTGTAATTGACGTTTAGTGTTATATACGAGGCGGAGAGTAAAGCAATACGGTACATTTCGTGAAGTGAAATGTACTGGCTCTGTCATTTACTTTTGTTCAAGGTAACCAACAAATATTTTGTAGTTAACTTTTGTAGTCTAAGGCAATGGACAGGGACTTAATTACCAGTTGTTACGATCCCTTTCACTGCTGCTGATGAACTTCTCTTGTTAGGCGTGACTCTGTGCTTATGGGTGATTCTTTCTCCGCCGCCAGGGGAAGCCTCTCCCAAAGACTGAGCAGAAATTTGAGAATTTTGCCCGGAGCTGTTTTAAGATCTCAGATAAAAATGTAAGTCTCTCTTCGTACTTTATGACTTCAGGAGGAACATGTACTCTCACCGATCTCCATCAAAGCCAGGCCTGGTTGATTTTATGTCCTTGTAGATATTTTGTTTGCAATGCAGCTGCTGTATTAATATGTTCTTTGACATGAAACATAGACATGAAGGGCCTGTGCTTTGGGGGATGTTGAAGATTCGTGTTCATCTTGTTGATTCTGTAATTATTTTTGAATAAAATTACCATTGACATCCTTCAGAAAGGTTTGGAAGAAAACTTCTTGTGAAATAGTCATGAATTCACTCTACATAATTCACTCTATACACACACATATATAATATTTACATACATACTGTCTGTCTTAGTGATTTACTAGCCATTTTAACAAGGGTGTCTTTTGTAGTCTAATAAAATTACTTGTGCTGGTATGCAGACCGTACCAGGATCTCGCTGTAGTTCAAGGTCATTTGTGAAGTCTGTGAGGTTTCAGATAGTCCACCCCCTGGGACAAACGTACCCCCCCTCCAACAGGAACCTTTGATCTGTGAAGATTTATAAAGATTATTATAGGTATTACTGCTCGATGGAGTGTGGTGATGAATATTTTGAATTCTCTTCTGTAAAAGGTACAATGTCCTACCTACTCAGGGAGACATAAAATTACAAGTATGATTTCACCGGGAATAATTTCATTATGTAAAATATACATGAGAAGAGTTTTCTGAAGACCCAGAATTCTAGAAGATGGTGCAATTCAAAGGAATCATAGCTGACCAATTGCAAAAGTCACAAAGTTTCTAAGGGTTTTTTTTTTTTTTAAATTAATTAGCTTTTTTAACCCTCCCTTGCCCTCCCCCCCCCCACCTCCCC